GGGGGATACCGCTGCCCACCGGCCCGGCGCTCCCCTCTGGCCGCCTTGACCTGGGCTTCCCCACGAGAGAGCGGGAGCTGGGTGGGGGGAGAGAGGCCCGAGGAGGGGCGTGCGTGTCCCTCCTCGTCGTCTCGCTGGGTCTTTTGATGTCCCGCGGTGTTTGTGAGGGTCGGTCCGGCGGCTCTGTGGTGACTTGCCAGAGCTTTGCTGTTTAAGTCGCTTGGCGGTTACGGTGCTTGATGCCCCTTATCTCTTTCTTTTTCTGCCCTTGACATTCACCAGGGTAAGGGAACAACCTCACCTTTGAAATCCTACTTACTTACTTTTAATCCTACTTACTTAACTCCACCTTTCTTAAGTGACTTCTAGACCCCAAACTCCAGGCCGCACTTTTCCTCCTTTGAAAAAATGTCTTTTAAAGGTGCTTTTTATATTTCTGTTTAAGGATTGCTGTCCTTTGCTTGAAGTCTGTTATCTGCCAGTAGGATGGTTCATTTCTGTATCAAACCTTGTATGTCACTTGTTTGATTCACAGCTATGCTTCTGCTGTCTGATCTCTGTACAAATGTGTATGACTCTCCTAGCTCTTGACCTTTCATCTCGCTCTGAAGACTGAGACCTCCTTATGAAAAGTCCTTTTTCCACTCTTTGCCACTTCCTCCTGTGGCAATACATAGGCGTGTTACCTCAGCTTCGTTTTTACAAAACCACGGTCCTTAACTCCTATCTTTACTTTTGTCCCAAAGGGCTAACATTGTTCCTGTTGTCACACCTTTTATTTTTTACTTTCTCTGATGGTACAGCCAGTGACTTTCAAAATGCACCTAGTTTTTGTCATTAGTTAAAATCTTAATAAAGTCCATGGCATGTATCTTGATTACTTCTTGAAAGAGAAAATAATTTGAATACATCTGAATTACTTCTGAATACTTTTCTGAGAAAAATATTTATGTTGTTATTAGCAAGATGACTGTTCGCATTATAAGCAATTGTACCTTTCAAAGGTTGACACTGATAGCACTATTTTGTGATATATAATGCTAATGTCCAGAACTTATCTGGTGTTTTTATAGTATAAAACCATTTTATTCTTATTTTTCTGATAGTTAGAAATGTTTTTTCTAACTCTAATGTGATTAGAGTTTTGTGATAATAAGCTGGCGCTTACAAAATCAGTAAATTTTCTTTCTATGTTATTGTTTGTCTTTTAGGGCTTCCAATTATTTCTGGTTTTAATTATTTGCATTTTACAAACAGAATAGTTCCCGTAAGTGTCATGTAAGTTTTTGTGTGTTCTGAAAAGACTTTTGTCTAATTGTGGTACGTTAGTTCTTCTTTTAAAAAGACTGTCACTGGAGACAGGCCGTATTCTGAAAATGGTATGAAAGAGACAGATGTACAGTGGGTGAACTGATTTGAATCACTAGTTCTGATTAAATCATCAGTCAAGAAGTATTGATTTCAACTTTCAATTTTAGTTTTGCTTTGTATTTGTATTTTAGCTGATTTGGTAATCATTACTATATGTTGTTTCTCAACATTCAGTAAAACTTAGGCACCACATTTAATTCGTTCTACAAGTCATAAGGACATAGCATATCTACACAAGTGCTGGAGCCTTATCACGTCTTATGAGAAGCAGAAATAGTCCTAAAGATTTAGTAATTTCGATAATGACAAAAGTACCTGACTGGAAGTTCTGTCTGGGGGGAAGAATTAGAAGAACCAAGCTAAACAACAAGGACTGCATGTACAAGATGCTGGCAGAGATTAGGGCAGGTGGCTTATAGAGCTGAGAGGATGGAAGTAGTGTGGCAAAAAAAAATCTGCCTCTCTAGTTCATCCTGATCTCAGTATTTGGAATTTAGTCGTGTTGTTGACAAAAACGGGTGTCATCAACTTGCGAAAGGTGATGGCTGGATGGGAAGCACCCTACTCATCCTTGTGGCAGTGTTTGTTTATGTGTATTATTTAACTGGCTTCCTATTGTTTTCATTTATATATAGTGTCATTTCTTGTTTACTAAAGGAATGTAATTTCTTATTTACTAAATTGTTTTCTCCACCCAGAGTACACCACAGCAAAAATTACTCAACATTAATAATATTCAAAACTAGCATTTTCACACTTCGTAATTTTATTAATATTTGAAAACCTGTCTTTTCCCAGGAATAATTTATATTATTCATCATAGTGTCAGCTTGGTATGTTAAATAGGCAGTAGACTATTATTTTTATTAGGGACATTTTAATGCAATTACATACATATATAATAACACGGGTAGCTGGTGCATTAACATTTAGAAGATATGTGTACCTAAATCAGTATTTAAGGATGTATACAGAAAGTTATTTTTGCATTCTTTTTAACAAAATACTTTCACTCTTACTGGAACTGGAATTAATTTTCGGTGTTCTTTCTTTGCTACTTCACATTTCTTTTCTCTTCTCTTACTGATTCTGCTTTGGTTTTTGTGTCCTGAATCTACTTGCTCTTGTATTCATTGCTTCATCCTGGCCACTCCTCATATTGTTACTGTCTTCTGCTGTAACTGTACCCAGCCAGCCTATTTCACTCTGGGCTGTTCTGCTGAGCACTGTATTGCTGCTCAGATCTCTGTAGGCTACCCTAAAGGCAGACTGTAGCTAATTTCACTTTTGCTGCAGGTGTCAAAGTACAGAGGGAAAGGGGAGCAGTGCAGGATTAAGATATGTGTGCATTTGAAAGATGGAGTGACAAGACTGTCAAAATCATACTGTGCACCGCTTAGGATATATAAGAATAAGCATTTCTTTTCTAGTACACTTACTTAGATTTTCTTGATTGATTGTTCATGTCAGTCTTTCGACCCTGGGATTCTAACCCTTGATATTCTGTCATGTAGGAATGAAAACTATTTTATGTTTTTAATCTTTTTCTATTCTAGGAAGTAATGTTCTAAGAATGTCATCGGGCATCCAAATAAAACCAAAGACTGCAGTACAGAAAAGCAAGACATCTTCTCCTTTGCCGTGTTTTCCAGAACCTGCAGTTAAACCACAGCCAAAGCCTAGTGACAAGCTGAATCCTAAAACTATTGATCCGGTATGTATAGGTGGTGGGTTTTCTGTTTGTTTGTTTAAAACAGATCTCTTGTTGGAAGAAATTTCCTTACTTTATGAAATACATGCAGGACATGCTGCTTGTGGTCCTGTTTTGTAAATTTAAACTAAACTTTTATTATTAATCATACATTCCCTAATTTCTAAGCTCAAATGCCTGAGGCATAACATGTTTATTACTTTTTTAAAAGAGGGTTTTTGTACAATTGTGGCTTGGATGGTAACTTTTTTTATTTTCTATATACCTTTGCCCTAAAAAGAGATTTAGAGGTAAGAGTTAAAAAAGGGTTGGGGTTTTTTTGGTATAGTTATAAATTTTGGGACCTGCTCCTTTAGAGGAACTGATCTCAGTTATGCAATGACACCAAGAGTCAGGTAGCATCTTGAAGATTATCTAGACCTCATGAAATCTAGCAAATAAATTGCTTGTGAGCATTACTTGAAACCACCAAGTACTGTGAATATGTAACACTTTGGGAAGAATGTGACCTCTCAGGAGAAGACTGATGAAAGGAGTTGTTTATTTCACAGAAGTCCTGCACCTGGAGAACTGGCTTTGAGTGGGTGAATTATAGCTCACCACTGGGCCATATCAACCAAACAATTAGTAATGTCACAGACTTTTTGGAAAACAAACTAAACGTGGAAGTGCTTTGGTGAGGTACTAGTTTGCCATAAACAGAGGCTGAATACTTTCATGTGGGCATTTTTTTTCTTGAAACATTTTTGCAAGTAGTACAATGGCTTAATTAAGCCAAGAAGTCGTCAAATCATGCACACAATTTTTACAGTGTTAATGTAGGTTCAAACACTCAAAAGATTAAAAGTTAAGATTTCATGGTATTTCCTGCTATATGCTTTGTGATAAGATGTTTAATCTGGGAAGTAGCATTGAATGATCATGCTAATAAATAATATCATAGTTCATATGCATAAGAAGCATGTATATGATAAAAAAGAACTTTGTGCAGGCTTTCCTCCCATGAAGCTCCTAGTTCCTTCTCCAGTGAGACCTTCCTAGATTCTTACCAAGTGTGAACCTCCCCACTGATTTCCAGTGCCCTCATACCATCTTGCCCAACATTTGGTGTTTCTCCCATATCTTGCCACCTTGTACTTTTGTCTATAGTCAGATCAAGATGGAATTGGAATAAATCTGCCTTCTGCATGTTACCAATATAACAACAATAAGAGCATTAGGAAAGTGAGAGGTCCTTAATCTGTTAAGGAGAGAACCCATAAGACTTCAGTGTTAAGATTTGCAAGAGAAAATAGAAAAATAAGGGTATTCCATCAGGAGAGCACTGAATCTACATTTTTTATTCATTTTTACAACTTCCTAGACAGACAATTCTGAAAAGCAGTTTTCTGATAAATGTACCAAATATATGTTTTCCACCCCACAGCTGCAGTTCTTTTTTTGATTAATTTTAGAATCATACGGCTAAGTTCCTTTTTTGGTAAACTGCAGTTTTAACACACTCAAAATAGTCATCAAACATTACTGTTATGAATAAATAATGCCTTTTTTTTTTTTTTTTGTCCTCACAGTTTGGTGCTCATTCTCGACCACCTTCTGCATTTGCTGCTATATATGCTAAAGGTGGCATTCCGTGCAGGTGTGTTGGTTTTCTTTTTTTTTTTTTACTAAATATATTATGGTTAGGTAGAATTACACAGATTGAAATACATCTATTCATGTTTGATCTTTTAGTTAGGCTGTCTGATTCCATTAATTTCTGAAAAGATTTCTGATACTTAACTCTTTTCAAAGGAGAAAGCACTTTTCCATGTCTTTGAAATGGTCTTCTTTTGGTTCTTTTTTTATGCTGTGTTAATACTGAAGCTGCATTTTTAAGGAATAGCTAGGTATTTGCAGATTTGGTTTGCTAAGCCTCTTTCATGAAAGAAGTTGATTTCTTCATGTAATAGTGTTTACTTCTCCCTACTAACACAAATAATACAATTAGTGCCATTTTAGTAAGTAGACATTTTGCAGTCCTTTTTTTGTCTGAAGTAAGTATTATGACAACATTTTCTTGAATATTCCAATTCTGTAGTTGTCAGCAATATCAGATATTAACAAAACCATTTGTAAGTAATAGGTTGTGGTATTTTAAGTTACTTTTGTCTATTATATATTTGCCTAGACAATAAGCACTTTAGTGTTCTGTCAAGTGGATGCAGAATTACTTAACAAAAATTTAAGTAATCATTGTTACATGTATATACATGTATATAATAGTCATTAATATATAGCGTTTATCTGTATCTTAGAAGTAACAGATGAATTCCAATATGATTTTCTTTCAGTTTCAACTGATTTCCCTTACCAACTGTTATTTGAGGAAAATGTTTCTTGGTATTTATTAAAATAAGTAACTTTGCAAAGGGAGCATCTTCTGTGTTGGTATGAGAGGCATCTATAATTTTTATCACTTTTATTTTCTGATTTCAATGTGATTGGGAGCAGAATTTTGAAAACTGCCATATTTGGGAATTATAATTGCACTGTTAAATATCATTATACATTTCACTGTTGAAATTGTGTATATAACATTATAGTAATATTGCAAACCAATTGGTGATATATTTAAAGTGAATAGTGTTAGCAATAAATTACATATTATTATACGTTAATTTGTTAAAACTTTATTCTTTATATAGGTTAGTGCATGGCTCAGTAAAGCACAGACTGCAATGGGAGTGCCTTCCTGAAACTGTTCCCTTTGATCCTCTTCTTGTAACATTGGCAGAGGTATACTCAATTTTCTTGCAAAGTTAAGCATACAGGATTTCCTAACTGCAAATGGCATTTTGTAACAAGCTAAGCTAGCTAACTTAGACTCACCTACTAGGGAAATATGAAAAAAACATTTGTGAGGATCTTGTATGAATGAAGATGGTCAAGAACATTGCCATTTGTAGCTCTTTAATTAGAGTATTCTGGGAGAGCTAGTAGAGCTATTTAATCTTTGAGATACTGGCCAAATACAAGACTGCATCTTGGATTCCCAGCTGTTGAATGAAATACTTCAATCCGTTTGTGGCTTTGCAGGTTCTTTTGTAAACAAAATTGTTTTGATTATTTTTGTATATAAAGCTTACCTATTGAAGTAAGAGTGCTCTCCTCAATAGATTGAACTAATACAGTGGAAATAGGATCCTGTAAATAAGTGAAAGAGAAATACTATACATTACGTTCAGGCTTCTGTTTTCTCAGCATCATTGTGACATTTATCACCAAATATGTTTCAGGAGTGTAAATAAATGTTGAATCCAGTGTGGTAGATGGAATAAAGTGGATATTCTAGAGGTGGCAAGCTTTGTTTAATCTTAAAAAAAAAAAAAACAAAACAAAAAACCTGTCAATTCCTAAAGTAACTTAGAGCTCCTATTACGGAAAGAAGAAAGACTTCAGCCATAGGGCTTTAAAACTTTGAGTTCTGCCAGTCAGGTCTTCACTAGAAGTGCGTATTTGTAGCATCTACAAGTTTTTGGTGTTGCAGAGGTAGGTGTGTGGTGGGGAGTGTCTTTCCTTCCATAGTTCACCTTCTATTTTTTTCTTTTCCTTCAGGGTACGAAAACCATTTATAAATATAGCCTATTCTTGTTCATGGTCTTGTTGAAAAATTACCTTGGGTAGTTAGATTAAAGGTAATGAAGTACAAATATTGGTTGAATTGGCAGTATCCATGTGAGTTTTAATATTCAGTGTTCCAAAAGAAAAATGAATATTCTGTGAGCAGAGTTGTACTCAATGGCTCCACATGGTGGAGTTAGTGTATTTTATGTTTTGAACGGATGTAACAAAATCTAAACATTACCTTGCTGCTATGTGGAACTTCTTTAACGTGTTTTTGTTTAAAAGAAGACTCACTATTAAGCAAGCGTGTTTTACATTTGCAACAGGGTCTAAGAGAGACAAAACATCCCTATACATTTGTTTCAAAGGAGGGTTTTAAAGAATTACTTATGGTTGAAGGTGCTACTGAAAAAGCAATTCCCTTGTTGCCTCGTCTAGTTCCAGTGTTAAAGGCTGCATTGGTATGTCTTACTCTTCATGCAGAGATTTTAATGGGTTTGATTTTTTTTTTCTTTTTTCTTGTGCTGGTGAGGACTACGCAGAAAATATTAATGTGATAAATCTGTTGCATGGGCTTTTGGTTTGGGGTTTGGGGGGCTGGGAATAGTTTCTTTTTCTCATGTTAACCCTGCCTTGGTTTTATTAGCTAAATATGTCTTTAACTGTAAATTCAGATGGGCAACTCCTTGTATAGCTGTATAACAGTAGCTATGGGCAAATTCTGTGGAAATGTTCTATTAAAGATCTGGATATAAGCAGAAATAAATATATGTGTTGGTGGTGTTTTTATATATAGACATAATAACATGCAAAAAAAAAAATTGAGGTGAAGTAAAATGGACATGCGAGAATAAATACTTGTCTGTTACATTTAAAAATTCAAAACATGCTACAAAGATAAAACAGAATATGCCAATGAGGAAAAGGGAAGAATACAATTAAAATGTTTGAGGTCATATTCTTCATTCTTAAAATATTTTTAACTTTTCTACTCCTTCAGAAAATAAAGTGAGGTAAAAGTATTGGCCTTGAAGGTAATCTCTTTTGGACTTTTTTCATATCTTTCAGGGCCCTTTTCTGGTTCAGCTACTTGCTGTCCTTTAATCTAATTGTGTTTCAGTTCTGGTTTTATAGAGATGGCTGAAAGTTTAAAAATTCTTTGTGATCTCAGATCAGAGGTGTAATAGAAGATCAGAATTGTGTGTTATCAGTATCTTTGGTTTAGTTTGGAAGACAAAATTAGAAGAAATATTCTTGTCTGTTCTTCCAATTACTGTTATTAACTAGATAATTTTCATTGTTGCACTGTTTTGGTATAAAGTCTTTTTAAAGCTTCTACTACACAAGCAGTCGATGACTTCTAGTTTAAAAAGAAACATTCAGGGCCCAAATGTCATAGTGGAAAAATAACTGTTTAAATAAAGGTCAGTATTTAAAGAACAAAATAAATTGTCATGAATCAATTTCTCTGCTAAAGGAAGAGTGAGATAACTAAACCATTAGAGAACTGACTCAGGTATAGAAGAACCTTCGCATGGGAGTAATAAAGATGACAAAGCACCCTAGAAGTAGATAAGAGCCTGATAATTGCTGGCAGGTGACAAAGCTGTAGTTGGCAGGGAACTAAATTAATTGAGCCAGAAAGTGTTTCTCCAACAAAGACAATTATTGTTATGAATTACATAGAAATTACCCTGAATTCATTACATTTGTAACTAAAATGTTGTCTCCCCATTTCAACATATCCACATTTGAAGAGTTCTTGCTAATATGCTGTGAAGCACTGAAATTATTGGTGTAGCAAACTGTTTTGCGTGCCAAATTTTTTATTTTTTCAATAATAAATTATTAGCTTCCTTGTCTCAAAAGAAACACAAGAGTTTCACTGACATTTTGTGGATATTTTTATTTTCTACTTTAAAAATATACTTCTGTTTTTAATTGTTACTTCTAGATACTAATATTCAGGCATACTGTACTTGTATATAACATTATAACAATTAGCAGTTGCACAGTAGTTTTAATTTTTAAAAATACTATATACAATCATAGTGTAGAGATTGCAGTTTTGAAGAACTTGTGCATTTGTCTGAATGTTACTGACAGGATTTTCTTTTTTCCCCCTCTGAAGGCCCATTCGGATGATGAAGTATTTGGAAGGGGATTAGATGCTTTAGTTCAACTGAGTGCTGTTGTTGGCCCATCTCTTAATGATCATCTTAAGCATCCACTCACAAATGTAAGTTTTTAATGCTGTAGTAAAAAATCATCTGTATTTTTATGGTACTTTTGTTGAGATGTTTACTGTAATATCTGCACAGATACAGTGGAGGACTGAGCAGTTCCATGAAAAGCATTACTTCATATATTCCTCTGTGTAAGTCCATCATTCTTTAATAATATGGTGACTTACAAAGTTCTAACAAGGTCCAAAAACTGTTGTTAACATAAATTGGAGAATAATGGAAATATTGTCTCTGCTATTTAAAAAAGATCCAGCTTCAAGCCTGAGGTGAAATAGATGCTGTGTTTTGAAGGGAAGTTTAAGTTTATTGCAAAATGAGTTTTGCATTTTAAGTCTGAATATTTTAAAAAATTTGTGAAAGTTTCAATAAATTAACATGAGCAAACATTCCCACTTCTTTCAGATGGGAATTCTGCACAAGGAAGTTTTCATTAAATAAACTTATAGCAGGATTGTGGAAAGTATTTTTAAACCGAGTCCTTCTATAGACATCCCTCCTCTGTCAGACAGGCTTTTCATGGTTTCATTTAGTCTGCTTTCAAGGTGCAGTTTTACAGCAAAATAAAAGGACCATTCAGACGTCCAACATAGAAGAGAGAAATTGCAGTAGGTTTTTTTTTTAAAGCAATTCCACTATAATAAATCTCTTTCAGTGCACGTGAAAAAAAGTGTTAGCTTTTCATGTGGACAGCACTTTAAGAATTACTTTTTTTTTAAGGATGATACCGCTCTAAAATGTGTTTGCTAAAAGAAAAAAACATTAAAATAAGTATTTTTTTGGCTAACAGTTGAGCTTGCTTTGAATTTAAGTTTCTCATCAGTTAACATTTTTTTATTCCTTTTGCCTTGACTGAGTTCATACTTTGACATCAGTTACAAGCTATAAAGTGATGTTTCTTTTTGGCTTTAATTTTCCAAAGACAAGATGAAATGAAGTCATTAAATGGAATTATATTGGCCTCTTTGCATATATTGTATATATTGTGCAACAAACCTTTTTATTTTACTTTTCCAATAGCTTTCAAGGAGATTAATGGACAAGAAATTTAGAGAAAAAATTACTGTTGCTTTACAAAAGTTGGAGCAATATGGTGGAAAGGTGAGTTGACCAGATAATTATTCTGTAATCTGCACATTTGAATGCAACTTTGCCAAAACAACTTCCATCTCTGGCTTTCAGATTCAGAACCTTATTCTGAAAACTGCTTATTTTTATGTGTCACAACTAGTCATATTGCATAAAACACAGGATTTTGCACTGTGGCAATCAGCAGAGTTGTGTTCCAGTCCATAGTAAAATAGTTGGTTTAGTCTGTTTGATGTATTGAGTGGTAATAGAAATAACATAAAATCTACTCTGGGTAATCCATGTTTTGCCAGTTAGTTAGGTTTTGTTGTCTCCCATTTTTTTATGATTTCATTTGTATTCTCCATTGTTTTAATCTCTGAGCAGGAAATACACGAGTATGTCTCAGTAAAATATTCCAGGGGAACCATACCTACATCAGAAGCTGCATGGCTGGACTCTTACAGCACAGCACACCAAGCCCCATTCAGGGGAACTCTTTTTGGGAGCAAGTGTGCATCAATGTGGACCCCTACCCATGATATTTTCTTGGAACATTTTGTTGTCCTTGGTGGGAAGCTTATGCAGACTTAGTGGCTAAGTGAGATAAAGTCTAAATTTTTTTTTCCAGGGTTTGAACTGATGTGTCAAATGGGTTAGTTGCATAGGGTAAGATCCAGGATGCCTAATATAAGTCCTTACTCCAAGTTAGGCATTGCAGTACTTAGAAAGTAGATGCTTATGCTGGGTAAAGCATGTGAGCTTGTTGTACAGACCATAGGGTAGGCTAGATGCCTATGAAGAGTGATCCAAGAATTTACCAAATGTCAAATGGTCAATAGCTTCTGGCTCCTTCTGGCATATTGACACCTGACAGGCTGAATATTTGTCTTGCTTCAATATGCCTGGGATGCAGGCTTCATGTTCCTTTTTCTGAGCCTAAATACTTTTCTCAACAGGATTTACTCTTGCTAAAAGATAGTTTTTGCTGTTATTGATGATGCCTGCCCATTCCCACTAATAGCTTAGCGTTTAGGTCACTTACTGAGGACATCAGATACTCACATTCCAGCCCACCCTGGTTAACCCAGAGGTTAGATCTGTAATCGCTATAAATCAAAAAAATGCTTTAAATAATAGATGGCAGAGTATTCCTCTGCTGAACATTCTGTTGCCATTTTCTGTTGTACTGTACATTGTGCAGAAGGGAGGAGAGAAGAAAAAGTGAGTATTGGCTTGGCTATTCATCTAGAAGAGAAGACATTTGCTTTCTTGACCCTATGAACACTTGCATGTATTGGTCATTGGTAAAGAATGGGAATAACCTAAAGAGTAAGGACTAAAGAGTAGGTCTACCAATTCTGAGCTTGTGTACTTTAATCAGTAGGCACCCAAATAATCAGTAGACACCACTTCTTTTTTTTTTTTTTGCGCTCATGTTCGTATTACAGACTTGAAAAACATCATGACAAATAAAAAAGCATGAGAGTTTTTTATTTATATTTAGTGAGACAAGAAAAGGAAAATTACATCTCATCTTGACGTTCTGAAAATTTAGGTCTAGATAATGTAACTAATCCAGTGAATCACTAACCTCTAATTCTTTTGTCTGCCCCCTGATTTCTTGTAGTCTTACCGGTTTTGCTAGTAGGTCTTTTGGTGTGTCTTTTAAAAATACTGTAGGAAGATAAAGCAGAAAACTGGAAACAAACTCCTAAATTGTGATTATAAGTAATATTATGTAATCCAACTAATGAATGTATTAAATTTCTATTCTGAGTTACAATGTATATGATTCTTACTTTTATTGGAAGTCCCTTCCAGAATATCACTCCTCTATCTAAAAATTCTTATTCTTTCATGTCTATACTTATGCCCAGTTTTAGGTATGAGTTTACATATCTCTTCTCTTGGATGTTTACTCCATCATTAGTTATCACAATGCTCCATTTTTTCAGTTCATTATTGTCAGTCCTTTTGCCAGAAAATTTCTCAGCAAATATTAACTTTTTCATTGTCTACTGTTTGATAGTAACAAAAATAACTAAGTAAAAGTTGTGAATTATACAATTTATAGAGACTATATGAATACTCTCATATGTAGTGCTAGTGCTCCTTATTTTGTTTAAATTTGTTTTATTTTCATTAACAGGCAACTGTGGCCATCATCAAATCTAAAATTCCAACCTATTGTTCTGTCTCCTCTTGATCAAGAAAACTGTAGTGATTTGTACTGTAAGGTGAAGTTTGGAAAGAAACTGCCTGTAAACATCACTGACACTTATTTGGGGTATGATAAAATAATCACAGTTCTTCAGAATTCACAAAATTCTATCAGTTTGTGAATATGTAATTATGGAAGACTAGTTAAAATAATTCTCTCTGTATTAGCTGCTATTTGTATATGCATTGTGCTTACAATGACATTGACTAATTTGCTATTATTTCAAAAGCAAATATTGATTCTTATTTTGTTGTAAATTACAATTTCCTTTAATAGATCTGCAGTGTTTAATATGTTTTGTACATTTGTGTGATGCAAAATAATTTGGCTGTAATGACTTAAATAGTAACTAACTGGGTGTTAAATTACATATGTATACCCGCTTTTGAAACACGTAACTTAATTTGCGCCACAGGCACAGATGGATGCAGTTTGGGTTCATCAGGACTTACTGAGTTAGATGTAGAACTATGAGAACTCGTCTTCTGAGAGTCAGCTTTTAGAGGTATGAAGCTGAATGCACTAAACAGGTAGCATATGGTGCAAAACTGAGCTTGCTCAGTGCAGTCTCAGCACGTTGTTTTGAGAAGCTGGAGAGACTCTGGAGAACACGGTGCAGAGGCATCAGGTTGCTTGATAGAGCCACAGCCTAGGTTTTGCTCAACTAATTAGTTCCAGTTAGCTTTGGGCCTACTGAATGTGAGCTAGATGTAAGAGGCAACTTTGGAGTATTTACACCGTGCTCCCTTTGCATTGAGTTCTGTAATGCCACAGATATGCTTGAGACTAGCTTGTGAATTCAGCTCCAGACAAGCTAATAAACTTCTGAATGCGGAAGCTCTGAAAAAAGTATGAGTTAAAGGCAATAAAAAGATTGCAGAAGCCAGCTTATCTGGCTGCCAAGCCTTGTAGGGTGCACCATTTGTCCATGAACATATTTGAACTTGATTACAAAATAATTCCTAACAGATCTTGTAATAAATACTGTTCAGGGTACATGTTTTTATGAGTATTTGAGTTACTCTGTGAGGGAGAGCTGAAGTAACAAAATTTGCCATAGAACTTTTTCCCCTGAGAAAAAATTTAATTCCGAAATTTAAAGTTGTTGGAAGGTTTTTTTTTCCTTGTCATCAAAAGATTCTGTTACATAGGGTATTAAAAAAGTCTGTCATGTAAAAGCAATTTCAGAATTTTTGGAAAATTACCACTGCTCTGCTAAATTAAATTTACTTCAGGACTGTGCTAAGATTTCTGCTGAGATCAACATTGTGCTAAGTCAAGATACATGTATTTAAGCTTTTTTTAAAAAATTAATTTTGTTGACAAAAATGTTTAATTTGAAGAAATACAAGTATTTAACAACTCAAAAAATCGCTCATGCTTGTTTTTCTTCATGTTTACTTTATTATTATTTTTTTACAAAATGTGCACATTTAGTTTACACAAACACGCTACAGCAAATTTCAGGTGTACATGTATTGTACTACTCTTATCCTACACTGGTGATAGCAGAGCAGCCTTCAACATGCCTCTAACATCCCACCTCTACACCAGAATAGATACCTGATTTATTTTTGCAAAAGAATGCTTGCAACATTCTTTCTACTTCATTAATCCCCTTTCTGCAGCAATGTCACAATGAAGAGTGGCCTATCTCTGATAGCATTTCACCTATTTTGAAGTATTGGCATAAACTCTGTGGACAATAGATCTTAAAAATTACATGGATGGGGGTGCAGTATTATATTTTAGGTACATACTTTTTTAGAAAAATCTTTCTACGTTCAGAATTAAGGTAGCTCCAATCTTAATGACGAAATGACCCTAAAAAAATGTAACGTAGTTATCACATATAGATGACATTATATAGCTGAAGTTTCCAATTTTTTCCTGATTCTGTCTCCTTATTAAAGATATTACAAAAAGCTGAAACAGATGTTAGCCTGTCTAGCAGTTAATAGTAGATGATGTTACTATATAGTGATATTCATTCTGAGGACTGAAGTGGGATGGAAGTTTCAAAAGAAGTTCATGCCTTTTTCTTCATTAAAGGCAGAAAGACATGTTTTCATGAAAACAGTGATGAAAACAGATCCAGTTAAGATTTCTTCATGAAAAATTCGAAGTCAGAAGATCCTTAATTTTAAGCAAAGAACTTTGCAGACACGTCCAAGAAGAATTAGAAATACAGTATGTAGGACTCCTGATACTCATGTCATGATAAATTAAATGCAGATTTACTAGGTAAGTGTGATTGATTGATAGAAGCTTACTCGTATTTGTTAGGGAGTAAATCTACCTATATGCAAATTCTTTTTTTGTTCTATAACAGTTCTTCCTCTCAAGTTATCTATTTTGTTAGGTTTGGGGGGCCTTTTTGAAGAGAAAAGCAAGTCGAAGGTGGAAGGCAATTGCAGCAAGATGTGCATTGCACATTGATTATAGCACTTTAACTCAAAGTATTATTCAAAAAATGAGGACTACACCATACAAATGTGAAAAGAAAATACATGGTAATGCCTCTGTATAAATTAGAAGCTAAGATTTAAGAAATACACTCAAACACCTGGAGCTTAATCCAGTACAAATGAGTAACAAAACTAAGACTATTTATTTAATCTCCTTGTGATAGTATCTATTTTATCCAGGAGTTGGAATGATAATAAAGCTGCATAATGTCAGGTCTTATTTTGTTTGAGTTTGGAGTAAAAACCTGACTTTTCAGAACAATCTTGTTAACTAAGTAGCTACCGTTGAAGTGCTAAATTGTATATAAGTTTTTTTGGGGAAAAGTTTATAATAAAAAATTTATTTGCATAATACATGTCTCAGTGTAAAGCTGAGTAATTTTATTTGTGATAAAGTGGGAGATCCATCTTTTAGATAATGTTGCAGAATAGCTCATATTTGTCCATTAGTTGTAGACCTAATGTCTTCATTAAATCACATTTTCAAAGAGCTGCATGGATCGCATTATATTCTCATCCTGTAAAAAAGACAACAAAAAATGAAAAATCATATACCATTACAAATGTAGTTGGCAAATATTTATAGTGAAATTGGGTAGAACTAACTGTATTTTAGTTAATGACAACATTATTTTTCAGCTTGTTTGGAGAAATTGTTAGCAGAAAAAGGCTGTTAATGGATTTATGCTGAAATAGATTTTTGTATATAATAATTAAAACAAAACTATTCTGTCAAGAATGCAATAACATGTTAAGAAAATTAAGTCTGCAGTATTTCAGAAGTTATAAGTTTATATCCAGTATAACAAAATACAGATAGACAACAAATACTCAAGGAATAATTGTTGTATCTGAAGTGTGAATCCATATATGAAATTGCTAGTCCTGTGTATCCTACACAGGAACCTTTTTGCAATTCTAGGGCATCCAATTGCATGGTTACGGATAACTCTAAAATAAAATATATTTAAGTGTGCATCTTTGTGTGAACCGAAGAATCAGTCATTTACGCAATTATCACCGCAACACACTCTGATTCCTCAGCTCAGATTTTTTGTGTGTTCACAGTGAAAGATGTTCACTGTTTTCCAATGCTACTTCTGCTTTCTGATTGCTTTGCATTAGGTAGGTAACAAAACCTTCGACTTCCAAGTTCTGCATAATGATGCATCACTCCATACTCCAATTTTTATCAGTAAATAACTCTCAGCATATCAGTCAGGAAAAAAATTTTTTGTAACATTTCCCTTTCAGTGTATAGAAGAATAAGTTTACTTGTAGTAGCCCATATTTGGTGGTGCTTCTGGATCAACAGTTGGTTGCACAATGCAATATATATAGACAATACAAGAGCATATTACGTGCTCATTTAACATTTGCTGGTCTCCACTGTAATGATCCTCTTTTTTTAATCTGAATGCACACCATTTAGTACTTTCTTGAGAGATAATCTAGCCACCTTTAATTCTAGTGAATAAAAAGACTGAATTTGATAGAATATTTTAGGAGGTTTTATGAGAGAGGCATAAAAAACCCACTTCTCAGAAAGATTCTCTCATAGTATTCTCCATTACTGATATGTAATGTTTTCTGCATATTAATATTCCAATTACACATGATCAGTATCAATTTCCAGTTAAATTATTCACTGTTCAGTCTAGTGGGTGATTTGCTTTGTAGAAAATGACAAGTCTGAATAATTTTCTTTATTTATGTTATGAAGCATGCACAACGGGGTTTTCATCTTTGATTCCGTATGTCTTCTCAAGTGATGTCACTGTAAGAAGTGATCTGTGCACTATTTTGTGCTAATAAACTAACTTATGAAAGAAATTATATGTAATTTTAAAAAAATCTGTTATGTAGGTTATAGCTTAAAATGTTTGTGTAGGAAATTTACTATATTAAATTACTGGAAAATAAAATAAATTCACTTTTTCCCACTGCATTGTTTTGAAACATCAATATAACATTGAAGATCACTGAGTAACGTAAGGTTAAAATTTGGTTTATCTGGAACCATTTGTCATTTAATTATTTACAGATGCTTTTGTATATACATTGGCAACTAAGCTCAGCAAACGTGCAAAGCAAACATTTTCTTAATTTAGAAACAGTGTTTTGACACTTCCTACCGATTTTCTAATACATGTATCATCACTAATGAAACTACTAGTTTTCTAAAATCAGTTCCATATTTCTGAAGTTTGCTGTTTCTATACAGAAGACTTCCAAATGCCCCTCCTTTAGTCAGTCAAATGGGAAGTCTTCACAAGAAAATATGACTTTGTCATAATATTTGGAATATGGTGACTTAGTAGCTTCCCCCGCCCCCATCTTAAAAAAAAAAAAAAAAAAAA